CCCTAAACACAACCCTAAACCCTAAAGCTTGCCTGATGGAGCCAGATAGCATCCCATGGAAGCCGTTGTTGAAACCCGACCCGGAGCCCCTCAAAAACCTACATTTTTCACAGGAAGGTTCCAGAAATCTCTGTACATCTATATGCTTATTGGGGCTGCAGGTTTAAAAAGCTTTGTCGGATCTCTTGTTGGAGCTTTTAGCCGGTCGTGCCTTGAGCTCCTAGAGCACCTCCCTTGCGCCATTCCTGGTAGCGATCCCGGTAAGCCAGGTACTCCTGTGACGAATGGAGTTCGAGGATGCGGTCACAATTCGCTTTCCTTTTTGTAACAGCCTCAACATGGATTAAGCCTCAGCGTGGGGTAAGCTTTAACGTGAATAGTGTTGAAATTCTCTATGCTTTGCGGGTACGGGGATATGATGGCCTGGCTTACCCTAGTAGCCCAAATGCTTAGCCCTAGACACTTAACCCTTAAACCATTTAACTTAAGCCGAAAACATTCAAGACACAACGAACGCGCTAAGACCCTACTAAAAACCCCAACCCCACGGGAAGAAGACAGCTGGTGTCCTCGTAGATACCACTGGCTTTCCTTAGCCCAGGCTGCTTGGGCTTCGAGTTGACCGGATCTATCGGCCGCAATGGGTTTAGGGCTTCAAGCCTCAACTCTAAGCCCTTAAACCTTTTCTAACTTAAGCCCTAAGCCGCCGTGCACCTTGATCGATAACTCTAGGCCGTCATCCTAAACCCGGCCAAGACAGACTTGCGGATTCGGTTTCAGCGCATCCGGAGGACCGCTTTCTCGGCATTGCGCGGGCATTCAGGGTTTGGGAGCTCGCAGAGTTTGCGATGTGAGGTGCCGGGTTCAAGAACTCCGCTGACTTAGCCGTAAGCCCTAATCTTGACCCCAAACCCTCAACCCCAAACCCTAAACTTGGGCCTTGTAAGCCTGCCTAAACCGTTTGGAACGTAGAGGCCGAGCAGTAGGACCCCAGGCACGCTCAACCCTGTGCCCGGGTTTGGAAACCAAACCCAACCCGCCCACCCATCCGCTTCCAAAGCTAAAAAACAGCCATCCGATTTTTGGAGCTCCTGCACAGAAGTTGTAGGGTTTCAAGGTCCTACCCTCCAAGGAACACCTAAGCAACACCTCAATAATTCGAAAAGGAACCCTGAAAGGAACCGTGACGGGAAACCCTTTAAAAAAACCGTCGAGACACCCCTTAAAGGGACGCTTAAGGGAGCCTTAAAATCCTAGAAAGCCCTTAATTTTTTAAAGAACCCTAAAAAGGAGGAACCTTAATATCCTAAAAAACCCTCAAAGAACCCTTAGACGGAGGAACCTTAAAATTCTTAAAGCCCTTAAAGAACCCTTAAAAAGGAGGACCCTTTTAAAGGGGGGGCGAGTAGCAGCTGCTCCGTGAGGTCTGGCAGTTCCCCGGCGTCTGAGGTGGCTCCGTAGTTCGACACTCCTCTGCGAGGACCTGGCGCTGCGGTTTAGGGTTTAGGGTTTGGGGTTTAGGGTTTAGGGTTTAGGGTTTCGACTCTCACTCTCGCACGCAGCAGGCAAGGCTCCACACAAGTTTGGGGTTTAGGGTTTAGGGTTTAGGGTT